CCCCAATAGTGGAATTATTGGATCATATGGTATTTCCAATATTAACTTTTTTTTTTTAAAGATTTTATTTATTTATTTGACAGAGAGAGACACAGTGAGAGAACACAAGCAGGGGGAGTGGGAGAGGGAGAAGCAGGCTTCCCGTTGAGCAGGGAGCCCGATGCGGGTCTCGATCCCAGGACCCTGGGATCATGACCTGAGCCGAAGGCAGACGCTTAACGACCGAGCCACCCAGGCGCCCCTCCATTTTTAACTTCTTGAGGAGTCTCCATACTCTTTTCCACAGTGGCTGCACCAGCTTACATTCCCACCAACAGTGCACGAGGGTTCCGTTTTCTCCACACCCTCGCCAACACCTGTTGTTTCTCATCTTCTTGATTTTAGCAATCTAATAGGTGTGAGGTGATATCTCAGTGTGAATTTGACTTATATTTCCCTGATGATGAGTGATGTTGAGCATCTCTTCATGTGTCTGTCCGCCATCTGTATTTCTTCTTTGGAAAAATGTCTATTCAGGTCCTCTGCTTATTTTTTAATCAGATTGTTGTGGGGTTTTTTGTTTTGTTTTTTTTTTTTTGGTGTTGAGTTGTAGGAGTTCTTTGTATATTTTAAATGTTAATCCTTTATTAGATATATCAATTGCAAATATCTTCTCACACTCAATACATTGTCTTTTTGTTGGTGGTTTCTTTTGCTGTGCAAAACCTTTTTATTTTGATTAGTCCCACTAGTTTATTTTTGCTTTTGTTTCCCTTGCCTTAGGAGACCGATCTAGAAAAATGCTGCTACCATTGATGTCAGAGAAATTACCACCAGTGCCCTCTCCTAGGATTTTTATGGTTTCAGGTCTAACATTTAGGTCTTTAATCCATTTGGAGTTTTTTTTTTTTTTTGTCTATGGTGTTAGAAAGTAGTCCAATTTCATTCTTTTGCGTGTAGCTGTTCAGTTTTCCCAGCACCATTTACTGAAATGACTGTCTTTTCCCCCATTGTACATTCTCGCCTCCTTTATCCTAGATTAATTAATTATATATATGCGGGTTTATTTGGGGGTCTCTAGTCTGATCCATTGATCTATGTGACTGTTTCTGTACCAGTACCGGACTGTGTTGATTACTATAGCTTTGTAGTATATCTTGAAATCTGGAATTGTGATACCTTCAGCTCTGCTCTTCTTTCGCAATATTGCTTTTGTCATGCAGGGTCATCTTTGGTTCCATACAATTTTAGTATTATTTGTTCTAGTTCTGTGAAAAATGCTGTTGGTATTTTGATAGAGATTACATTGAACCTGTAGATTCTCTTGTGGTCTCCAGCTTATGCTGTGGGTTCCAGCTCACTCTTGATCTCTCCCCATTCTCTATCCATCCCCCCTTCCTGACATCCTCCCCGCCTGGTGGACTTTGAGGCCTAACGCTGGACAGGATGACAGCAGCCTCACAGAAGCTTCTTAATCACTACCACAGCTGTATAGGGTCAAATCCCTGGCATGAGCCCCTTCATGGACATGTGTGGGTATCTCCATAGAGGTTCTGCTGCTGAAATCCTGGGCCCTGATCCACAGGGCAATAGTCCTTTTTTTCCCACAAGAACTTAGAATATGCTTCAAAAGTGTAATTCACACTTAGCGAAGTTCCAATGGTTTTTGCTGCTTTTCTCAAGCCAGGTGGTGTGAGCTCAGCAGGAATAGGGGTCTTGGCCTTCATAGTCAGGGCCCCCATGTATGCGATAGGAGTCTGTGAGCCCAGACATTTTTTTTTTTTTTTAAAGATTTTATTTGACAGAGAGAGAGAGACAGCGAGAGAGGGAACACAAGCAGGGGGAGTGGGAGAGTGAGAAGTAGGCTTCCCGCAGAGTAGGGAGCCCGATGCGGGGCTCGATCCCAGGACCCTGGGATCATGACCTGAGCTGAAGGCAGACGCTTAACGACTGAGCCACCCAGGTGCCCCGAGCCGACATCTTTAACAGCATTAACAGCACATCTTACAGAGCGTGGTAACTGCCGGTTTTCCCTCTAGGAGGTGTCCACTAGACAAGAGCTTCTTAAAAGCAGAGAACCTGTCTGTTCTCTTGACATTTTATTCCAAACCCTGGGCAATGCCTGTCACATGGGAGGCACTCAAATAGTTGCTGAGGGAATGGGGACTCTATTGGAATCCTAGGTGTTTAACCTCTGGAATTTTCTTGAACAAAGCCCCCTCATCTATATGGAGAATTTCTCATCCATCGAAACTAAGCTCAGGTATTGCCTCCTTTAGTTTTCTACGTTTTCTCAGTAAGCTGTTTTTTAATACTTCTATTATTTTATAACTAAACATTTCTCCATCTATTTTACCAGACTCTGAACTCTAAGGGCAGATATATCACCGGGGTCACTTCTGTATCTCTAGTGTAATACACAGCACTGGGCAAGGTAGATTTGTGAACAATATTATTTTTTTTTTTTTTTAAAGATTTTATTCATTTATTTGAGAGAGAGAATGAGAGACAGAGAGCATGAGAGGGAGGAGGGTCAGAGGGAGAAGCAGACTCCTTGCCGAGCAGGGAGCCCGATGCGGGACTCGATCCCGGGACTCCAGGATCATGACCTGAGCCGAAGGCAGCCGCTTAACCGACTGAGCCACCCAGGCGCCCTGAACAATATTAATATTAAGTGAACATTACTATTTCCAGAGTTTATCCAAATCCCATAGGACTAAACTAGCTTTTATGAAGGCTAGGGGCACCTGGGTGACTTAGTCGGTTAAGCCCAGCATCTGCCTTTGGCTCAGGTCATGATGTGATGACAGGTTCCCTGTTTGGCAGGGAGTCTGCTTCCTCTCCCTCCCCCTCCACCCTGCTCTGTTCATGTGTGCACATGCGCGCGCGCTCTCTCAAAATCTTGGGAAAAAAAAAAAGCGGCTAGTTCTACGTGGGCTAGCTCAGGTAGAGTGCTCAAATCTTGGAGAAATTTGCAACTTCTAATACTTGTTACTAAGGGATGTGAAGTTCATTTCCCTCTTAATATAGGACATGAACCCAGGCAACATGGCAAAATTTTTCCTTCTGTTCAATGCTCAGGAGTCAGACCCAAATGCCTTCAGGGGTCAGCTAGGTGTGTTGGCTGAAGGCAGATGGATGAGTCCTAAGTGTGGCTGGCAAATATGAGAGCACAGGTCTGCTCCCCAGGCTCCAGGCTGTGGTGTGTGCCAACGGCAAAGGCAGGCAGGTGCCAGGAGCTTGGAGCGAGCTTGGCCTCACGCAGGCTGCCAAACGTGACCTGGCCTCAGACGCCTTCACAATGGGCTCCCGGTGAGTGGCTCCTAAGATCCTAATGACTGTACTTACAAACCGCTTGTTCTCATGCTGTTATTCCAGTGTTCCCTCCACAGAGTTTCTTAAAAGGGAAAAAGGACCTACACTCTTCCGTGACTGAGAGTCATGTTCTACTGAAGGTCAAGGGATATTTTAGGTGACTGCAGTCTCAAAAGAGTGCTGATTTCTTTGTGTGCCTTGGAAGAGAACTCTTCCTTACATATGTGAATGTAATTGATTTTGAAAAAAGCCCACTGTAATAAAAACACACACTGAAGTTTTCTTAATATAAAGAAACTAAGAAACGTATCTGGGTGAATGCTTACCATGTATAAGCAGCTGTTTTACTTTGCAACAAATTCTTAGGCCTTGCTCTAGAGACCAAAGGATTTCTTTTATTTTTAAGCATGAATTGAATCCACCCACTGTTTAAAATGAAATCCCAGTGGGTTAAGAGGAGGCTCTTGAAAATGTCCTCTTGTCCCTGCCCCCATTCAGGTAGCTAAATTGAAATCCCCCCTTTCTGTGCCACCTCTCCATCCCGTTTCCCCTCCTGCCCCATCCCTGTTACTATCTAGGGATTTAAGCAATTTCATAAGTGGACTTTGAGCACATCTTTTGGACTTGGCTTGTTCCAACATCACCGTTCAGAACGCTACACTGACACAACAGAACCAATCAGTGATCCTGCTGGACGACCTTGACTTCCGTCTCTGTGGGGCTTCATCAGGGTCAAGTCTCCGCTCACCTCTCACTCCTGAGCTGGCGCAGCCTCCTCTCTGCCTGTCAGGGCGCTCTGCAGGGGGAGAGTCTGCGGCTCCAGAGCATGGGAAGAGGTTTCTGCCTCACACTGTACCCTCAACCAGGCCAGTGCTCCTCCTTGGGTTATTCTATAGAGCAAATCTGCTTTATAACCGCTATATCCTCTGCTCATCTAACTGGTCTTAAATTTTTCTTGTAATAACCATTTTCTGAAATATTTTAACTTGGTATATGAATATTATGTAAAGCTAATACTGTTACATAAAAGGCCATGCATTGCTTGCTGAAATGAAGAATTAAACGCTTAAAATTAAGTGCTAAAATATCCCTTTATTAAAAAAAATTCCTGAGTAATCATTTGGAATACCATGCAGGCACACATTTTAATGTCTTTGAACCAAATAAGAACAATCTCAACATGCTGTGCTTTAGTGTAAAAATCAATTTATTATATAACAATCATACAGAATGCTTATCGGTCTACAAAGAAAAATGGCTTCTCCTGCATCCCTGTCCACCCCAATCATGATATTATGTTCTCAAGTATTTTCAAAGGAAAACCAAAAAGTGATATCCACATTTTCTAAATAAGGAAGTCCCCAGAAACATCATAAAATGATATGGAAGAATCATTATGGTCTCTTACAAAGTGCTGTTCTGCCCATCACAGTAAGTATCATTTTGCCTTACAAATAAAAATAAGTACCTCTCTGATGGGGATAGGGAGGACCTTCTCTCTCAATATGCCTGAAGGCGTCAATATATCATTTTGATGGGTTGAAAATGTCACTTCATTTCCATTTAACATTCCATTTTGTTTAAAAAAAAAAACTGGAATTTTTAACATGTGCTTATAGTATTACATATTTTCATTCTTATGAGTAAAAGGAAATTTGGGAACAAAAAGTTTTCATTTTTCTAACGTATATAGGCTGGCTTTTTTTTTTTTTTTTTTTTTTTTTTTTACAGTTTTAGGAAAATCACATTAAATGTAGACATTTTGCTTTTTAAAGTTCCAATACTTAATAACAGGTCAAAATATTTACCTGATTCAGCTTTTGCGGCTAAGATTTCATAGCTCTGTGTATTTGTATCAGCCTTTGAATGGTTTAAGGCTAGAAGTATTTGATTAGAATTAAAGACCCAATGGGAAACAGCGTCCTGAAACCTCTACGTTGAGCTGGAAAAGGGCAAACTACCCTGGTTTTTCCCTTTGATCTGAGAGGCTTCCACCTGCCTTGTACTTACAGCTGGGGGGCTCACTCATTCTGCTGAAGGATGGCTTCCCTCCTTGCTCTGCCAATACCAAGTCCAGGAAAGCACCAAAGTTGCAGGTAAACGCCGGGGGGGGGAGACTTTCTGGCCTTCCTGACATTTGAGGACCAGCTGCAAACAATGAAGGCCCAGTGAGATCCGGCTTCTCCCTGAGTCTCATTTTTCCCCAGAATGCACTTTGAGAACAGATTTTTAGCCCTCACTTGGGACCTAAAACTGAGCTAGAGTCCAGTTGCTCTGAGGGGCTTTAGTCCAACCCATGTTTGTTACAGAGGAGTAATCAGAGGTATACTTGGGGCTAGCCCTTATTTTAAAATGAATTTCTGGGAGAGAACGATACTCCTAACAATACTGTTAGGATGGGATGGAAGAAGCAGGGATGAAGCACCCTAGAAAAATCAGTTTTAGAAAACTTTTTAGAAAAATAAATCCAAGAGTAAGTGGGTGTCAAAAATGTGTGTTCAATAAAAATGGACCAAGTGCCCACCTGTGACATGTACATATACGCACAGCGCATCTACCACAACAAACAGCCAAGACCCGTCATCTTCCACACAGCGGGCCAGGTCCTGAGAGGGTAGCAGACGTGAGCGAGAAGTGAGAAAACACAATCACAGTCCACGTTCAGTGTCGTACCAGAGTCTGTGCTCTTTTTTAAACGGAGAAGAATTTTAACACTAGAAAGCGAGGGGGTAAGGAGGACAGAAAGGCATCCCGGACAGAGCGGATGGGGTCCAGTGAGCGGTAAGCATGCCCTTCTGGTGCTTGTGCTTCGGACCTCAACGGGACACCCTATGAGCTATTTTAAAGAGAAGGTAGGAAAGAGTGTCAAAGGCGGCAAGTCTTGTCTTAGGGCATAAATCTTCCCCACATCTTTAAAAAATATTGTTTCCATTCTTGGTGCAAGTGAATAGTAAAGGTCCAATACGCAGGGAGAAAAAAGAATATTCACTACTGCTTTCGTCTGCTTTTGTGCTTGTTCTCAGTGAGAGCGTGTTACCTGGGCAGGGAAGGGATGTGCTGAGTTTGCCAAATTGGCACTTTTCACGGAGGCTCATTACCACCCCCTGGCTCAGCGTTGGAATCTTTCCATCATCCTCCTCTTCCCATTTTCAAAAACTTAACCTGCAAAGAGTGACAGCAGGTATTTGGGGGTAGTATTCACAAGCGGGCTCACAAGAAATAGTGGAAAAACCCAATGTCTGTTTTGCCCCAACTGCTCTGATTTAGAAATATTCCAGTGGCTTATCCTTCTAGGGAGAAGGGAAGATTCCTTGATCAGAAAGGAAACGGGCAGCCAGATTTAGATTCTGCTTTCAAAACTGAGCAAGGTGTGTGTTTATAACCTAAAGTAGGGGAATTTAACATAGGAGGTAGACATGAACATATGAATAGTCATGGAAACCAAATTAAAACTGAGGAACAACTCCTATCCGAAGCCCCTGAGCTATGAGGATTTGGCAGATTTTTTTTCTTCTTAGAAAAAGTAATCGTCAAAATAAAATACAAATTTCATTACCATATCACGAAGTTGAGACTTAGTGTAGGAATTTGACAGACTGCACCTTAAAAGAAAAAAGTTGTGCTAGATTTTCCTGTCTTCCATGTATAATCCATTTTAATTATTTTCTGGGGTTGAGTCCTAATGGAACAAATGGACTAATGACTTTATTGCTTAATAAGCACTAAGCAATTATTGCTTAATATAGATTAAGACCCTGTGGTTAGAAGGTAATTACCATTTTGTTTTAAACATTTCAATCTGAATAAAACTTTTTATTTGAAGACTGGCTTCGGAAAACAAGGCTCCATGTTTCCTGGCTTTGTATGTGTATAAGGCGTTATGGAAACAGTTTCTGGTGAGGGGTGCAGTTTGTGGGGAGGAGGAGAGAGAAGCTACACCAGGTCTGAGGTCTACAGAGCTCAGTGTCTGAGGTGACACGGTGTGCTGACGGGAGCATTCAGTTAACAGATTAAGCTAATAGCAATATATTAATACATTCCGGGTACAAATGATTTATAAACTCAAAAGAAATTAGTTTATGCTAAAACATGTAACTTTAAATTCAGTCTTTGCTTTAAAACAAGCGAATCTGTTAGGCTATTATATATGCTTTGTTACTCGATGTTTATTGTGCTTTCCTGTTGATGACCCCATTGGTCACGGTGAAGTAGGCTTTGGAAAAACCGTTCTTAACTTCTTTCCCTGCAGGTGGCTCTTCCATATTTTTCTTCACTGGCTTTTTCTGGTATGTCTGTTGGATGTGTATATTTCAAAGAGGGGGGAAAAAAAAGGATTCTTGAATAAGACTTTCTCTCTGACATGGCATATAATCTAAAACAGTTCATGATTTTATTGCATATTGGACAAGAATTTTTGTAACAGGACAATTTTTAAGCTAATGGTTAAAAATAAAGGGGTAAAACCCAAGACAAATATGAATTCCAATGAAAGGTTATTTCTTTCACCTTATCAACATTGGTTAGGATTTACGTATTACGGGATGGGCATCCAAATTATTCTGCATGTTGCTTCCTTGTAGTTCCTAAAAATGAGATCCTTTTCCAATTCAAGTTGAAAAGGTGCTGTTATTTTAAAAGTACCAGTACCTTGGATTCTGGCTTGATTTGGGTTTTGGCATATCCTTCCTAATTCTGACAAAATATCCGATTACATCTCATTTTTACTTTTTTTTTTTTTTTTTAAAGCAATGGTATTAACAAGGGTCAAGACTGAAATTATATACTCAACTCTAAAGGAGTAAGATTCCATTTGAACCAACAAGTAGGGTTGAAGTTCTGGGCGCCCAGCACCCACCCTGCTGGGCCGCATGCTCCTGTCCTCAAGGTCCGACCCCAAGCACCACGTGGACTCCCTGAGCTTTCCTGGAACAGTCTGTTTCGGTTTGTTTTTGTTTGGGTGGCTTTGTTTGGTTCTATCAATGGTTATTTCTCTAGAAATTCTCAGAGGAAACTTATCTCTTATAGAAGACAAAGGCTAGCCAGTCCAATTTCAGAAACACAGGGGCTTAAAAAAAGCTTGTCAGAGGTTCAGGTTCCCACAGCTGGGCTCTGTATGAAGCCCCTGTGGGTTAACTTTCAGCAAACACAAACTAAAAAAGAAAGCACTTGTTGTCTGAAGAAAGAAATACACACTTGATTACAATTTCAAAAGTGCTGTTTTGAATATAAATGTATGTTCTCATTGCTTTTTCATGAAGCTTAATTTCTCTGTCCCCCACCCACACAGGAGAGTAATTTAAAATCTATAATCACCTGAGGCTTGTGCCCTGCTACGGCTTTCATCAGTTTTTGTCTTAACAGAGTTGCTCTGAAATTGTGTTTTGAAGCTCTGTTCCATTTAAATTGTTGATTAAAAGAAAATGACACTTAGTGAAGAAAATGCCAATGTGACCTTTCCACGATGGCTGGCCTTAAAAGTTTTTTTTCCAAATAGTGAGTTTATAGTATCACAGTGCTGATATAGAAACAATTTTTTAACACTAAATTCATTTAGCTTCTGTTTTTCTCCATTCAAACAGATTTCCTGCATTCATATATAAGACTTGGGTAGCATGGTGCAAATACATCAACCAAATGTGTGACCTGACTGAACTCTAATAAAATGCCCACTAGGCTCGAACAGGGGTTATCCTTCAAGGGGAGGATGTGGGGTGTGGAGTTAGGAATGCACATTTCTCTGTTTCCTTTGGGTGCCTCGATTAGGCACAAGTCTGTGCTACGTTATTTAATTGGCAAAATTAAACCTCTAGGTGAGGCAAAAGCCCAGTCTACTATGTTTTGCTGCTGAAGAGTTACAGGTCACTTACCTGCACGTAAAAATTTAAGAAGAGGATGACTAACGTCAGCATGTAGTAAGACTGGAAGATGAGACAGCCCAGGGGGAAGCCACAGGGTCTCACCACTGCACTCATGGTGTGCGTGATGGTGAGCACGAACTGTACCTGGGGGAAGGGGGTGGGGAGGCAGCAGGTGAGGCAACCAGGTGAGCCAAAGAAAATCCATTTTGAAATGTTATACACTGAGAACTCAACTTCTGGTACTCCCTAAGATTCGGAAACAAACGCTGAAGCAGCCCACTATCCTATCCAGACATTTTATTTGAAATGACACTAGTAGGTATATACAATTGCCCACTAGTTTTCTCAGGGAAGAGTAGCAGTTGAAATTCTTTAGATAAAAATGAATCTGTTAAAATTAATGTCTGGGTTAAAGCATCTACATTTCAAAGCAAGGAATAAGCTAATTGTATCCACAGAGGGCATTTTAACACACCAGGTTTAATGCTTAAAAGGCCATTTTAGAGAAAAATAGGCAGCATCCTCACACAGAAAAGCCTCTGGGAGGATGACAGATTCCTTTCCTCCATCCCTCAGAATATTTAGATGCTTCACATGGAGAACAGCGGAAAGAAGGGATAACATACCAGTTGAGCCTGTGTGAGATATTTCTTCCACCAAAGATACTTGTGCATAGATGGAAACACAGAAAGGCCATAGTAGGAGTACATAAGAATGTGGATAAAACTGTTCAGTGTGGGTCCAAAGAAACCTGTGAAAGTACAGTATAAAAATTACTGTTCATTCTTTATCCAGTGAGACTGGTTCTTCCTGTACACCATCACTGAAGATGAATAGCAACTCCGGTACTAGCAGATACCAGAATTTCACATGGACAGACTCCCTTTCGCTTCTGTGCTCTTACTCCAGGATTCAGCAAAAGTCCCCGAGACAAGACAAAACTGGGATGGTTTTTCAGTCAGAGTGTCAACCAAACAGGTAATTCCTGATCTGCAAAGGTTTTACTGTCTCTTACACCATCGTTATTATCCACTAATCTGGGAAAAAACGAAATGTTTGCTTAAAACTGGTGGCAGAACTCCTCTGAAAGAGAAGTGTCTCTGCTTTTGCTAAACCTTGGATGAACCATTTTGATTGTGGAAAGAAAGCCACCAGTACGAGGCTGAACAAAGCGTTCAAGGGTCGAGGACAGTATGTTGCTCTTTATATTTATAAATTCAACCTGAAAGGGACCTAGGAAGCAGGAGATGCTGGGGGAAGGCGAGAGAAGGTCCCGCAGGAGAGAAGGCTGGGACAGAAGAAGGACCTGTCACTGAGATTTCCCAGTGGCTGGGTCATGTCATGGACTTCTAGGACAAGGAATGTCTAAAATCCAATTTGAGGACCTGTGCTGTGCCCCTCCCTTCCTGAAGTCCCTGTAGCTGCCATCAACGGGGGTGAATGATGTTTTGGGAAACCAAAGGCAAAAACTAAGTTCTATGTTGGCTCAACTAAGAAGCAAAAGGATTTAGCTGCAAGAGGTGGGATGTCAGAGGCAGGTTCTTTGTTGGGAACTGGGATACTCACTGTCATGAGGAGTAAATCAATACATACATGCAAAGTGCTTACAATGGTGTCTGGCAAAGTGAATATCACTTACATGCTACCTTGGGATCCAGATGGAGCTGAGTCCTGCGGTGAAGAGGCTGTGGAGCTAGAGGACCCCTACTAGCTAGGTCCCCTTGGATACATCAGTTTTACTTGGTAAATTTTGATTTTGCCATCTGGAAAATGGGCATGATGGGATTGACTGAATACTATATAAACTGAAAAGTACTGGACCTATGCTGGTTAATCAATTTAAATTCTCTAGCCTGGTTTTCCAATTCTAGATCAGAGGTCTGGTTAGATAAATGCAAATCAACGAATAAGAAATGAAAACAACACTCGCATCCAGTAAGTCCTCCGCAAACACAGGCTGGAATAACTTGTTACAGGGCTTGGATTTACATGAAAACACAGAGTTTCAGAGTACCAGCTAGCATAAGGTCAGTGGTATTTCTTTACTCACCTGAGTTTTCATTACCATGAATGAATGGAAAAGGAGTGGTTGATTATAATTTTATAATATTTTAGGTTCACTAGAAATTGTCACACACAGCATCTTATCAACAGGAATCCGATGTCTTTACACAGCAATTATGTGAGACTGTCGTTCAGATGCTTAGTGATTTGTAATGAGATAGCTGATAAGCACAAAAAATACTTAACCTTGATAATTCTTCTTTAATATTGATTATGGGCTTTATATTGATTAAGCACAAGTCTATCATTGTCTTAATAACAAAACTCAAACTAGATTCGGTCCAGGAAGAGGTATAAAAGACCCATCTCTTTCTGACTCCTGCACCCCCAGCAATTTCCTTCTTCACACTCTGGTTTCAATTTGCATCTTCATAGTCACTGATATTTCTTAAAACATCAAGAATGTTTGGGATAGATCTCTAAGGTCCCCAAATCATCTTTCTTTTTTGGGGGGGGTTTCCTTTTTTTAAATTTTAAGTTCAATTAATTAACAATATAGTGTATTATTAGTTTCAGAGGTAGAGTTCAGTGATTCATCAGTTGCATATAACACCCAGTGCTCATTCCATCATGTGCCCTCCTTCATGCCCACCACCCAGTTACCCCATCCCCCTCCACCTCCCCTCCGACAAGCCTCAGTTTCTTTCCTATGCTTAAGAAGTCTCTTATGGTTTGTCTCCCTCTCTGGGTTCATCTTGTTTTATTCTTCTCAGGTTTGTTTTTTTACTAACCAGAATCATGCTGTATGTATTGTTCTTTGATGTGCTTGTTGGAGATGTTCTCAGCCTAGCACACTCCTTGTATCCATTCTATATTCCACAGAAATAGTTAGATGTTTGGGTTGCTTCCTTCTGCTGTTATAATTATGCCCACTTTTGTGCACAAACTTGAGCACAGGGGCTGGAATTTGAGGGGAAGAGTGTCAATTTGAGCCCCTGGCAATCTGAGGTGAAGGCATGTTGACTTGGCATTTAGCAGGTGGCAGGCCGTGCATGCTGACTCGGGCAGGAGGGCGGCTGGACTGTGAATTTGGGACCCACAGGCCGATGGCATCGTGTGTGACAGGGACGTGGCTGGTTTTGCTTTTAATTTTTGTTTTTCTGGGAAACTCGATCTCTCCCTCTATTCTAAATGAAAGCCTTGCTGGATAGAGTATTCTTGGCTGTAGATTTTTTCCTTTTAGCAGTTGGAATTTATCATGCCACTTTCTTCTGGCCTGCAGAATTTCTGCTGAAACCCACTGATAGCCATATGGAATTTCCCTTGTATGTACATGCTTTCCTTTCTCTTGCTGCTTTTAAAATTCTCTCTTTATCACTACTTTTGGCCATCTCATTTACTTTGTGTCTTGGTGCAGACCTCTTTGGGCTGGTTGTGTTGGGGGCGCTCTGTGCCTCCTGGATCTGGGTTTCTCTTTCCTTCCCCAGATAGAGGAAGTTTTCAGCTATTATTTCTTCAGACAAATCTTCTGCGCCCTTTTCTTGCTCTTCTCCTTCTGGGATCCCTATCATGCGACTGTTATGCAGACAGTGTTGCTGAGTTCCCTGGGTCTATTTTCATTTTGCTTTTTCCTCCCTCTCATCTGCTCAGCTTGATTGCTTTCCATGACTCTGTCCCCCGGGTGGCTGATCCTTTCTTCTACTTCCTCTTGCTTGCTATTTATTCCAGATGGTCTATTTTTATTTCCATTTAGTGATTCCAATAGCTCTAATTGGTTCTTTTTTATGTCTTCTATCTCTTGGTGGAGGGTCTCATGGAGGTCCTGCAGTCCTTCCTCAATTCTAGCAAGTATCTTTATGAGCATTACTTTAAATTCACTATCAGACATATTACTTACCTCCGTTTCGCTTAGGTCTCCTACTCTGATTTTGTCCTGTTCTTTGATTTGGGACATATCCCTCTGTCTCCTCATTCTGCCTCTTGCGTGGTCTGTTTCTCTGTGTTAGGAAAGTCAGCTCCGTCTCCTGCACTTGAAAGTAGTGGCTTTGTGAAGAAGAGGTCCTGCAGTACAATGTCTGTTCCCCAGAATCTGGTGCTCAGGGGGGTCTTCTATGTGTGTTGCTCCAGGGGTGTCCTCCCATTGTGGCTGGGATGTGTTTGCCTTCAGTCCTGTTGTCTGCAATGGCTCCCTGCCTGTTGTGGGCAGGGTCTGGTGCCCGTGGTGTTAGTGGGCTGCTCCGGGGCTGCCTTGGGCTGGAGTTGAGTCAGAGCAGGCGTTTGCTGGAGATGGAGTAGCACCAAACTGCAGGCCCTGTCCCTGTGTCATCCCCGGATAAGCTTCTGTTGGTGGATGGGGGCCTGCAGTCCGGCCCACTGCTGGGGTCACGGTCAGATGGGTGTGTGGTTACCTTCCCCTCTCCCTGGGGCAGGACTCACTCTGGAGTGGTGCTGACCCTTGTCTGGGCCGCGCACACACCGCCAGGCTTGTGGCACTGCTTTGACGGGATCTTGCCAAGAGCGATCGGAGGGGGTGGATCTGCTTCGCTGTGGCCTCTTGTCTATGCCGGGCTGCGGAGAGTCTGTTCTGCCAGTTTTCGGGCTGCTTTCTGAGTTATTTATGCCGACGTGGGTGCTCTCTAGGCGGCCACGCGGCGAGAGGTGAGCCCAGGGACGTCCTACTCCGCCATCTTCCCAGCAGCCCTCCCCAAATCATTTTCACTGAAGTTTTACCTGTTCTGAGTTTTCACAGACCATTTTTAGATCTCGGGATTTAAGACAATCAGAAAGTACTGCTGTCCCTACTGCGGGGCGTAATGGACCTGTTAGTAAACTATGAAATCCCTGTCACGAGAGTCATCATCAGCTTTTTGAAAAAGTGCAACAGAATTAACAACAACAAAACCCAAAGTGCATCCCCCAGAGCTGGGGGAAAGAGTTCCTGAAATTCTTGTTTCATACAAAGTATATACATGTAAAGAGGCTGGGATATAACGTGTACTGTAGTTCTCAGTTAAGAAAAATATTGAAAGCCACACAGAGCTGTGACCTTAGTTTTTCAGAATGGGAAAAAAGTCCTAGGAGTTGAAGGGACCCCAAGCTGTAGCGTGGCCAGGTGGTGACTGTGGAAGGTGCCATATTTATTTCTGCAGGAGTCTTTCAGCCCCCGGGGTTGGAGGACAATTTCTCCAGCTGGCGTACATGCTTCTGGCCCTCAGACCTTTGGTGCATAGAAAAAAAATGTTTTTAAAATTTAAGGTAGGGCACCTGGGTGGCTCAGTTGGTTAAGCGACTGCCTTCGGCTCAGGTCATGATCCTGGAGTCCCGGGATCGAGTCCCACATCGGGCTCCCTGCTCAGCAGGGAGTCTGCTTCTCCCTCTGACCCTGCCCCCTCATGTGCTCTCTCTCTCTCTCTCAAATAAATAAATAAATCTTAAAAAAAAAAAAAATTTAAGGTAATACTCAGATTTTGCCAGATTCAAAGACCAGAAATAACCAGCCACTGGCAAATAGGTGCTTCCTTGTGTAACAACGCAGGCCACCCCATGGCCTCCCTTTTCTCTCTCCTGATATATGCAATATTCAATACAAGACACTCACTAGAGGTCTTAGAAGACCCAATTACAGAGAACTAAAAAAATAACGAAATCACTTACTTTGCCCACAAGGTATCCAGTTCAAAACACACCACCAGATGTTAAACATGGAGGCATGATGGTATACGTGAAGAAAAGTAATCTGACTGGTTTTTTTCCGCAAAACAAAGAAAATTGTGTCCAGGAACTCTACTGATTTGGAGAAGTAGTACCACCATAACACCTTAGCTACCTGTAAGAATGTGGAAACAGAAAAGAGAAAAGGTGAGCAATGAAAATGCCCCTCCTGCTGCCCTCCCTACCTCTTGGCAACCTGGGGGACACTGGGTTTCACTAGTGTGCACTTCTCTCTCGGGAAATCACACAAGCGCCTTCCTGGCATCTCTGCCTCCAGTTTCTCCCTATTCCCAGCAATCCACCCCACTCTAGTGAAAACAAGTTACGCCTCCAACATGCAGATCTGATCAAGGTACTCCTGTGCACCTGCAGAGCACAGGCTCTTTCCCGGCTTGCCCTGGCTGCCACTTCCTGCACCGCTCTCGGAGTGCCCCACCCCTCCTCTGCGAGCGCCCCACTGTGCACTGTCCAGGTGCTCTGCATACTCTCCCTGCCACGCTTGCTGCTGTCTCTGCTCTGGGCTTCCTAGCCCCCTCCTCCCCACATGCACCCCCCTCTCCTCTGGAACTCTACCTAACCCTCTCCTTGCTTTTCTCAGGCCTCATCAGCGGCTGCTTCCTTTGCATTCCCCGATGACTCTGCCTCTGCGCTCAGGAAGCAGGCCAGGGTAGTGAGGGTTAGGCGGCCGAAGGCCCATCACACAGGGCAGGGACCGGCCCATCTTTGCTCTGTGCTGAGCACTCAGCAGATCACTACTGTTCCTTAACGTTAGGTTTTCACTTTTTCCCCTCTTCCTCTAACCTACATATGTTTTTTGTCTCTGAACTGGTACAGGGCCCAGGAGCCGTCTGTACGTAGAAGACTACTTCTTCCGCATCTCCTCCTCAGATTTAAAATCAAGATGCCTCCAGGGTTGTATGAAATGCTGAATCACTACGCTGTACACCTGAAACTAATATTACACCGTATGTTAACTAATGAATTTAAATAAATGCTCTTCCTCTTCACTGAAGTGGTGGGTCAGGATTCCCCCTTCCCTCCTGAGCCCCTTACGAAGTCTCAGCTACAGGGGGAATACTTGAACTGCGCTGTGGTTTTAGCGCTAACATTGAAACATATGAGGAGAGTGTGTGTAACAGAAACTTTGAAGTTAGAACATCATGCTCTATTGTCTGCTTCCCAAGAACACAATAAGGTGTGGTGGCTTCCACCCTAATGTTTAAGGATATAATTAAACTTCACAGACGTTAAGCCAAATATAAATGTAAAACAACAACCCTTAGAGAATTGTATGGTATCCCAAAACGTGCTGGTCTGTGATAGAAATAAATGAGAAACAAAATGGGTGCAAAAAAAATGGGTGCAGAGAAATCTATATACCTTATTTTGTATTATAGCTTTGAAGATGTTTTTTAAAAAGAGGATTCAAACATGTACATCTTAATATTAAAGATTTTAAAGAAAAGGTTTCTATTATCTAATAAGCAGGATTTTTGATATGGAAATTGTTAAACATCCATAAATGTAAGGAGAGTAAGTATAAATTATAGAACCTGTGTAAGGAGAGTAAGTATAAATTATAGAACCTGTGTATCTATCACTAAGCTTCAAAGTTTTCAGTATGATTCAATTTGTTGAATCAATTCTATTTCTAAACATTTTTAGGGGGGTGTAGCATATTATAAGCAAATGCAAGCTATCATTTTATCTATAAAAACTAACAGATACTTTTTTTTCTTTCAACATAACCACCATGTCATCAGCTAATAAAGTTAATGGCTCCTTAATATCTACTAATAGCCTCCTCTGTGTTCAAATCTGTCTCAAAAATGTTTTTTTATAATTGATGTAAATCCGGATGCAAACAAGGTCCAGCTTGCACTGATGTGATATGGTTCTCCGGTCTCCTGATCAGTAACAGTCCCCTTTCCTTTTTCCAGGTCTTTTCCTCACAAAAACTAGATCAGCTGTTAGAATTCCTACTACTATGGATTCCTAGTGTTATTTAACTTGTTTCTCTATCCCCCACATTTTCTATAACTAGCAATTAGACTTAGAGGCTTGATAGACTGAGATTTAGGGGTTTGGGCAGGAGTACTTCTCTGGTGGTTCTGTGTACTTCCTGATGCATCATACCGGGAGGCACAGAATTTCAGGGTGTCTCACCGACATTCATGGACAGAGTTCAGACATTAACAGCCTAGTCCAATCGTTATGAAGTTTCTTTCCTTCCTTCCTTTCCTTTTCTTTATATATTTGAGAGCAGGCGCCCCACTGAGCAGGGCGCCTGATGCAGGGCTGGACCCCAGGACCTTGGGATCATGACCTAAGCCAAAGGCAGACACTTAACCAACTGAGCCACCCAGGTGCCCCCATTATGAAGTTTTTCCATTCACCTTTTTTTTACCCAACAGTTTTATCACTTATGGATGATTGCTGAACAGATCCATCATTTCACTAGGACTTGCAAGAGGGTGATTTTCTAATTCTCTTGTTATGCATTTTTCTCTAGAGAAAGAGCTCTTCTCTATTTGGAAATTCACATTTGAAAAGCAAAGATAAATGTTTCTTTCCCTTTAACTTTTCTTCCCTAGAATGAGTTGGTGTTCTAGCAACCTTCAGACGTCAACAATGTGTTTTTTGGTATCATTTTAAGCTCATGGTTTTTAAATAAATGTAATATGTTTCATCAGTAATCTTTTGAATTGTCCCATCTTGAGCACTGGGAGTCCCCTTCAAGGTGGCTCCTAGATCTTTTCATAATGACCAGAGTAGTCCTGGACAGCTTGCTTGCTTTCTGTCACAAGATGTCCCGGATTCTGCTTATGCACTTTTCCCACCCCAAACCAGGAATTGGCCAATTCTCTAAGAACCCTAATCCCTTCTGGTGGAAAATTATATTTAGAAAGCGCAATCTGGGTATTCATTGCTCACTGCACTGGGTTGTCAGAGACTAACTAGGCCTTTTCTGGAGATAAGAGCTGAAAAACACATTTGTTTTTAGAATAATGTTAATTCTGATATTTCCTATTTGAATCTATGATTAATGTTAGAAAAGAGATACTAATAAAAAAGTTAAACTATGTTTAAAATACTAGTTGTAATGATATTAACATTATGTACTTACTTTATTCTACAGTGTACCTATAACAGTCTCCAAAAAGCAATACTAATATTTTTATTAATAGAAACCAAAAAAATTACAGAATACTGTTAAGATATATCCCCCTAGGGAATTTCAGTCAAAACACGGTGTTTTTAAGTCCCTTGAAATAATTCTATAGGTGGTTATGTCACCAACTTAATATATGGGTGTATTTATTTATTTTAGTTTCCAAGTTTTGGGAGGAAGGCTACCTTTCTTTTTAAATTTAATTTTGTTTCAGATTATGTAAAATACTTAATGGTTTCAAAATCAAATATGACACAAGGTACATTCAGAGAAGCCCAGCTTCCATCCCTATCCCCCTCTGCCTAGTTCCTTCACCCAAAAGGAGACCACTTTGTTAGGTTTTGGTTTATTCTGCCACTGTTTCTTTTCAAAAACACACACACACACATTCCTATCACTTCTTGTACTATACTATAAACAGTCTGCAAGTTGGTTTTTTTTAGAGAATGTCCCCAAAATGGCTCTAACAGTACAGAGATCTTCCTCCTTCCATTTTGCAAAGGGATCCATTTCTGGATGTGCCATGGTTCATTCAGTCAGTCCCCCCACTGTTGGACATTTGGAAAACATTTTTGTTACCAAGCATTTCTATTAGAACAGGAGGACTCCCTTTCTTATGTAATCCCAGCCCCATCCTCATATCTGGAAGGAGAAAACCTCCTCTCCTTTTCAAAGAGAAATGGTTGCAGAGGGTCAATCAGCTTCTCAGGACTCACCCGGACATCAGCTTCCCCGGCACTGGCGAGATCTTGACACTGTAAGTTGTAGCCTCCTTCCCAACTGGAGAGAATAAGCTGCCAAAGAAACAAAGGAGGAAAAGTTAACACTAAAATTTGGAAAGAATGGAATTTCCTATTCATGTTTCTGATTGGCGTCTCTTTAAGGTCTGAGTAGGAACAACCCTGCACTTGAATTTCTCAATCCTGTCCTCAAACTCATGTGATCAAAGGATTTCATTCTTGCTGTTGAAGAGATACCAATGGTTGTATTCCTGATTTGGTATAATTCACTTCTATCCTTTACAGTGGCCCAAAGGAACAGAATTTGGCTACTATTTGAGTAACAAAATATTTCATGTAAGGAATCATCAAGTCCTATGTTTCTATAGGTGAAATGTAGAATTACGTGCAAACAACTGAGAAGAGCCTAAAAATTTTCTTTAAAGATTTATTTACTTATTTGAGAGAGAGAGAGAGAGAGTGGGGGAAGGGGCAGAGAGAGAGAATCTCAAGCAGGCTCTCTGCTGAGCACAGAGCCTGACATGGGACTTGATCTCATGACCCTGAGATTATGACCTGAGCCAAAATCAAGAGCCACCCAGTATTATTCAATAATTATTTAATAATATTTAATTATTTAATACTTTGTACTGGCTTACCTTAATTGATCATCTCCATAATTTTATGAAGTACGTATTTATTACCATTTTACAGACATGAAAACTAGGGCTCAAAGGTTCTTAAGTCATTTTCTTCATTGTATTTATGCCCCTTGGTAATCAATCATTTGTGTGATTATAAATGATTAATATCTATAGCCCTCATCATGTTGAAAAAACAAAAGGCTCAAAAAGGTTTGTGCCTTTTTTGCTCATCTTTGAATCCACGGTTCCTTGCCCAATGCCCAGCACATTGAAGGCACTCAATAAACATGAGAAAATGAACTTTTAAAATTCTTTGTGGAAAATTCTGCCAAAGAGGTTCTGTCTTTTCTTTCCTGCCATTACTGCAAAAACTTAAAATTCTAGAATATAAAGCATGTACATAAGGCATTTTCCCCCTTCACTGAATTTTATTTAGGGGAAATTTTTTCTTATGAGAAAATTTTTTTTTTTTTT